TCTTTCTGCTTCCAGGTGCGTTTCCTTGAACAACAGAATAAAGTGCTGGAAACAAAATGGGCTCTGCTCCAGGAACAGGGCCAGAAAACCGTGAAGAGTAACACTGAGTCACTTTTTGATGCTTACATTAACGATCTCAGGAAACAGCAGAATGACCTGGAGAATGAGAAAGTAAGGCTGGATGGAGAACTAAATAACACCCAAAAGCTTGTTGAGGACTACAAGAGCAAGTAAGGCTTCCAGACCTTCAGCTTTGCTCCCTCTTTTATGTATGCGTGCCATCAAGTTAGGCTTTTTTACTTCTGGCGGCTGCCAGGACTGGTCCCTGCAGTTTTCCTGGCAAGGTTTTTCAGAAGTGGTTTGCCATTGCCTGCTTCCTAGCGGTGAGAGAGAGGGATGGGCCCGAGGCCACCGAGCTGGCTTTTTGCCCAAGATGGGACTAGGACTCCCAGTCTCCCGGTTTCTAGCCTGATGCCTTAACCACTACACCAAGCTGCCTCTTAAGGCTTCCAGCCCTTCACCTTTCCTCCAAATTTCATACCCTTTGCTTATACTGCGGCTAATGCTACGATCTCACACAGCCAGCTCGTGGCTCTGGTAAAGTCAAATGCCCAGAAGTGCTTTACCAGCTAGGTGCTCTGCGGAAATGTGGATTTCAGCTTCAGCCACATTTGAGAATCACCTCTGGGATATCGTCAGACTTTTTCAAAAAGCCTTTAAGCAGTACAGCAACTTTACTAGATTTCTCTAAGCAGACGCTCTTTTTCTCCTCCCCTGGCCCGAATAGGTATGAAGATGAGGTCAATAAGCGTACCGGAGCAGAGAATGACTTTGTAATCCTCAAGAAGGTGAGAGGCTGTATGCCGTGTAGCTATCTTGCTATGATGTTAAAAGGTGGGACCATCTCAGAAACAAGTACATTTACCTCAAACAGGGCATTTGTGTGTGTATACTGTATATATTTTTATACCAAATAAAAATAATCAGGAATTAATAACTGATTAATAACCCTGCAGTTCTTTCACTTCTCACCATTAAATTCAGTGTCTCTTTTTTAGGAAGTGGATGCTGCTTACATGGCCAAGACAGACCTAGAAGCTAATCTACAAGCTTTAATGGATGAGATTGATTTCCTCAAGGTCCTATATGACATGGTAAGAATCAATATTATTTTCTTTGAATTCTGTTCTATCGCATGAATATATGGACTGCCAGAAACAGCTATTCATCTATCTTCCTGAATTAGTTTCAGTGTGGGAACACCCTCCCCCAACACTGGATAACATGTTGCCACAATGATGTTAAAACAGAATTTTGTAGCATCTTTTATTCTAAACTGGGATGGATGGATGGATGGATGGATGGATGGATGGATGGAAGGAAGGAAGGAAGGAAGGAAGGAAGGAAGATTCAATTGTATTTTCCATCAAAAACCTGAAAGTAATTTGGGAAGCAAAAGGAAGTATGCAGAATGAACAACCCTGCCAATTTCCATTCTTACCTAACAGAAAGGTTTGCACGCTGTAAATTTTGAATTGGGCATTTGCCAAAGATCAATCATTTCATGTAGGTAGTCATCATTTAGTGACTGCCTCATACAGTGACTGTTTGCAATTACGATCCTGATGAAAAAGTAACTTTGCGACCAATCCTTGCATTTATGACCTTCGCAGGTCTCTAAAGCAAAGAAAAGATGAAGTAAGATCGTAAGCGTAGTCACAGTTTCACTTAATGAACACTTCACTTAATGATCGAGTTGCCAGTCCCATCTGTGGTCGCTAAACAAGGACTACCTGCATAATATATTTTCTGAGTGGACTATTGCTGTGTCATGTACAGGAGCTCACAGAACTACAGACGCAAATCTCTGAAACTTCTGTGATTTTGTCCATGGACAACAATCGCAACCTGGACCTCAACAGCATCATTGATGAAGTCAAAGCCCAGTATGAAGAGATTGCAAAGAGAAGCAGGGCTGAGGCTGAAGCGTGGTACCAAAGCAAGGTAAATCATCATCAAGAAAGTCGAGTGGCTTACACTGGACTAGCTGTAAGAGGCAGCCCAATTGTTTCTTCTAAAATTGGAATTAGCCAAGCCAAGCCAAGCCAAGAGGGGGGACATTACCTCTTCTTCTTTCTGATTTTCCCACCAACCATTCACTGCAAATCCCTTACTAGTCAGGGAAGCAGCACCCCACGCTGGCCTTGGAGAACAGAAGGGAGGAAAATCTGATTCCCCACTAGTTCCTTTTCAGTTTGTTGCAGTGCTTACCTGCCTGTTGCACTTTTGGAAACGTACTTTCCCCAAAGGGGATTACAGTAAAAGTGTATACGCAGCTTTCCCAGCCTGGTGTACTCAAGTGCAACCTCTCTACTTCTCAGCTAGCATTGCCAGTGACCTGTGGGCTGGGAGTGATAAGATTTGCAACTCAAAGCCCCTTGAAGCACCAGACTGAGAAAGGCTGGTACGCAAACAGATATATGCACGCTCACAAAGGAATAAAACTGATTCACTCAAATAATTAAACTGCAGTAGCTACTTTCCTCCTTTTTTTTGTTTTTTTTTTTTTAGTACGAAGAACTCCAGAATACTGCTGGAAGACACAGTGATGATCTTCGCAACACCAAGCATGAGATTTCAGATCTTAACCGACAAGTCCAGAGACTCAAGGCTGAAATTGAAAGTGTGAAGAAGCAGGTAGGTTATTGCATTCTCCCAAAGTTATCATCATACTGTGGTACTGTTCAGCCAAGTTTCTGGCCTGAAAGAACATCAGTGTTAGGATATTAACGTTCCCATTCTTTTCTGTAGTGCAGATTATTCCCCAGTTGAAATACTTTACTTTTTGACCTTAATATAGTGCTACTTTTTACATATATTTAACCTCAGTATCAGCGATACATATATATATATGAAAGAGTAGTACAAACCCATAGTCAATCCACACAATAGTACACACAAACCAGTCAATCCTGAAAGAAATCAACCCTGAGTGCTCATTGGAAGGATTGATAATGAAGCTCAAGCTCAGATACTTGGGTCACCTGATGCGAAAAGAGGACTCTCTGGAAAAGACCCTGAAGCTGGGAAAGATTGAAGGCAAAAGGAGAAGGGGATGGCAGAGGAT